TGGGCGATAGGGGGCGGGGCCGAGTTGACGTGCACGTGCGATCTGCGTGCGTTCCACGTGAATTCGCGGTTTGGCTATGTGCAGTCGAAGGTTAGTGGCTGGTCATTTTCGGTTCTTTGGTTTGCTGGTGCGAGCGGCAATGGGCGGGGTAAAGAGAGGCTACGCCCATTGGTTGGGTATTTTCTGACGATAAGACCCCGCCCATTTCGGCAAGCTCCGCCCACTGTTAGTGAATATATGGATAATTAATGTAATTAATATTAATAAATAATTAATAATAATTATTTATTCAGATTGGCGTCACGCCAGGTTGGGGTACCGCCCTCGACTTCTTCCGCATCGTTGGTCGTGCGCGCGCCGTCGAAATGCTCGCCATGGGTACGGTATTGAAGGGGGCGGAGCTTGCGGAAAATGGGCGTGGCTTAGCTAATCTAGTCTATTCGAGCGAAGCGGAATTTGAGGAATATGTTAACAAATTGCTAGTGAATAATGTGACTCTGTTGAGGTCAATCAAAAAATTGGCACTTGTCCATGATTTGAATGATAATAATATTAATATTAATAATATATATAATAATAATAATATAAATAATAATAATAATGTGGAAAATATGGATTTGGAAGGGAAAAAATCATTTTTGGATCGCGAAGTATTTTGTGAGAATTGGGGCGGTGAGGCACATTTGGCCGCCTTGAAGGCGAGTAAGAAAATGAAATAATTATTATTATTTATTTTTATTATATTTATTATTATTATTATATTTATATTATTTATTATTATTATTATATTTATTATTATTGTATTTATTGTAGATAATCTAGTCGTTTTTATTAGCATTTGATAGGTGTAACTATGGGTATGGCTTCGCTTAGGATGTTACTATTATTTATTGTTATTAATGTGTATATTTATTGTATATTTATTATTTATTGTATATTTTTATTATAATAATAATTATTATTGTGTATATTTATTATTATTATTTGTTATTATTTATTATTATTATTATTGTTGATAAAGAGTTGATTCTGTTAGTTATTATTTATTCTGTGTGTAACGGTTTTAACCGAAGTTGCTGTACGTATCTTTATTTATTTATTTATTTATTATTATTATTATTATTATTATTATATATTAATCGCTACTATGTATATTTAATATTATTATATATAATATTATATTTTAAATA